CCGCTCTACCCTGCACTGATGAGGCCTCAACTGGAGTACTGTGTCCAGTTCTAGGCACTACATTTCAAGAAAGATGTGGAGAAATTGGAGAAGGTCCAGAGAAGAGCAAGAAAAATGATGAAAAGTCTAGAAAACATGAGCCATGAGGGAAGACTGAAGGAACTGGGCTTGTTTAGTTTGGAAAGGAGAAGATTGAGAGGGGACATAATATCAGTTTTCAAGTATCTAAAAGGGTGACACAGGGAGAAGAGGGGAGGGGGGAATTGTTCTCCTTGGCCTCTGAGGACAGGACAAGAAGCAATGGGCCTAAACTGCAGCAAGGGAGGTTTAGGTTGGACATCAGGAAACACTTCCTACCTGTCCGGGGGGTTAGACACTGGAATCAATTGCCCAGGGAAGTTGTGGAATCTCCATCACTGGAGATATCGAAGAGCAGGTTGGGCAGACACCTGTCAGGGATGAGCCAGACAGTGCTCGGTCCTGCCGTGGGGGCAGGGACTGGACTCAGTGACCTCTCAAGGTCCCTTCCAGCTCTAGTGCTCTAGGATTCTAAATTTGTATTTAAATTGGCAATTTTTGAAAAAAAAGCGTTTTGTAGGAAAGTGCTGAGCAGTGCCAGGTAACATATTGAGGCTTGTGCTTTGTATGTAAATTTGGCCAGGGATCGGCCCACTTTTACCACAGGTGCATAGGAGTTAGACAGGAGCGAGGCCCAAGGCCACCCTTGCTGGCTGCACTGGCAGATCACGCCTTTTGGAAGAGAAGGGCTGTCACTCGTATCCCTCATTGCCTGTCTACGAGCTGCTTCCTTGGGAACCCCCACGCTACAGTTCAGAGAGCCCTGTCCATCTGCCCGGGGTGCCACCGCAGGTCCATAGCAGAACGGCACCGCAGAGGCAGAGTAAGCCGGCCCAGGGCCACGTGGGTGCTGTCAGGTGGCATTGTCAGCATCACGGCGACCCAGGCCCTTCGGCGGCATGGTTCAGTGCGGGCTTGGAGGGGAGCCCCCACGGGCCCCTTCCTGAAGCACATGCACGTTCCTCGGGGAGTTTCCCTCCAATTGGGCCACCAAAGGCCCAGACCTGCTTAGTGCCCAGTCTCCTGCACACTCACAGCCTGAGTCAGGGACGCGTCTGTGACACCGGGACATTTATGGCTGGGAGACAAACGAAAGGCCCATCAGACCGTGCTGATTAATCCTGGTTGATCTGGTTAATTTAGGAGGGATTAAGTAACGAGCTTTCCCTTAATCCATGGCACTGCCTGCTCCCCACCCCACATGGCTCAGCCCACTGGGGCACACAGGGGAGCATGCCCCCTCCTGGCCCAGGGGACGTGGCAACAGCAGCTCCCATGCAGGAGACTCTGCTACCTCTGTAGCTTCCTGACGCTTGCCCGCCCAAGAGCTCAGAAGCGACGCTGAGGGTGTGAGGGGGGACACGGCAGAGCGCTGCTGAAGCAGCAGCCACAGCTTCTGGAGCCGGAGCACTCCCTCTGCCATGCCACGACCCAGCAGTGCTCCCATCTCCCCTTCCCCCCATGCTGACCCTCAGGATGGCGGACGGCTCAGTATGACCATTCCACAGGAAATCAGGCAGCCATCTAGCATCACCAGGCGCCTCCTTCTCCCCCTCCCCATGCTGCTGGGGTCCCGAGTCTGAACCCCCCAAACACTGCCCACACAACAGCTCTCACCGCCAACGCCTTCAACAGGCAGGCGGATCACAAACTCCAGTGAAAATCTCTCCCCTCCCCTCCCCTCCTTGGCGCCCAGAACTCCCCTTTGCAGAGCTGGTAGAACCCAGCCAGCTGCTTCCCTGCCCTGGGGCTAAGCAGGAGCCCATAACGGGTGCAGTTTCTGAATCAATAATTCAGTACACTGAGTGCAGTGCGGAAGTCAGCACTGGCTGTTCTCACCAGCCACACACTGGGCTCTCTGCTCTTGGTGGGAGGCAGACGGGGCAAGGGGAGCAGCTGTCGGTCAGGGTGAGGGGAGAGACGGGAGGTCAGGGTGAGGGGAGAGACGGGAGGTCAGGGTGAGGGGAGAGACGGGAGGTCAGGGTGAGGGGAGAGACGGGAGACGAGGGAAACATTTTGGGGTCAGGGTGAGGGGAGAGACGGGACGAGGGGAGCGGCTGGAGGTGAGGATAGAGAGACGGGACGAGGGGAGCGGCGGGGTGGGGGGAGCGGCAGGGACGGGG